GGGCGCGCGCGCGACGCGCGCGCCCGCCCGCCCGCCCGCCCGCCCGCCCGCCCGCACGCACGCACGCACGCACGCACGCACGCACGCACGCACGCACGCACGCACGCACGCACGCACGCACGCACGCACGCACGCACGCACGCACGCACGCACGCACGCACGCACGCACGCACGCACGCACGCACGCACACGCACGCACACGCACAGAAAAAGCGAGAACGAGACAGAGGGGAGAGAGGGGGGGGGGGGATCCGACGCCGCAGCGCTGACCAGGCGTCGAGCCGAGGCGAGGACGAGCGAGCGCGAGCTGCGGGGTGGATGGAGCGGCTGCTCGAGGACCCGTCCGAGCGGATCCGGAGGTATGCGACCCCACCCACACTCCCCCTCACCCACACCCACCCATTCCACGCCCGCGCACGCACACGCACACGCACACGCACACGCACACGCACACGCACACGCACACGCACACGCACACGCACACGCACACGCACACGCAACCGCAACCGCAACCGCAACCGCAACCGCAACCGCAACCGCAACCGCGCACCCGCGCACCTCCTCACCCACTCGGACCTGCGCCCCCTGGCGTGCGACACCTGGCTCCCTCCCGCGGCGTCTCTGCGCCTCTCCACGCTAATTCACGTCTCTTCACGCCTCTCCACGCCTCTCCACGCCTCTCCACGCCTCTTCGCGCCTCTTCGCGCCTCTTCGCGCCTCTCCACGCTTCTTTACGCCTCTCCACGCCTCTTCGCGCCTCTTCGCGCCTCTTCGCGCCTCTTCACGCCTCTAGTCTTCACGCCGCTCCCTGTGCATCAACCAGGTACGCCATCGCGGCCCTCCCCAAGCTAGGGGGCGGCGAGGCGGCGGAGGAGGCGCTGCTGGCGCTGCTGGAGCGCACGGAGAGCGCGCGAGAGAGGAAGCACCTCCTCGCGGCGCTCGACAAGGTCGGAGGCGCTGCCACCCTCGCCGCCGCCGCCGACGCCGCTGCCGCGGAAGGCTTCGATCTGCAGGGCGCGCGCGCGCGGGCGGCGCGGGAGGCGGAGCCGAGCGGAGTGGTTCTGAAGCGCGCCGTCCCGCGCCTCGAGGGGCTGCGCGTGCACCTCCGCTGCCGCGCCGGCCTCGAGGGTCTGCTGGCGGAGGAGGTGGAGTCGCGGGCGGGGGACCTCTCTTCCGCGGCTAAGTCCTTTGTGACTAGTGAGCAAGTAACCACGCGGTTAGTTCACAGGCGGGGGACCTCTTCCGCGTGGTGCGGGTGAGGCGCGGCGGGCTGGTTGCTGCGGCTAGGAGGGCGTGGCGGCTGGAGGAGGCGTACCGCCTCCGCCGCTTCGACACGCTGGGCTTCGAGGTCGGGCGGGGCGGCGGCGGGGTCGGTGAGGGCGGGGGGGAGGGGGGGGAGGCGGGGGAGGGCGGGGGGGAGGGGTGGGAGGCGGGGGAGGGCGGGGGGGAGGGGTGGGAGGCGGCGAGCGGGGACGGCGCGGCCTCATCCGCCGCAGAGCACGTCGCACGGGCGATTGCGTCGACAGAGAGCGAGGCTCTGGTGGAGGCGCTGACGCGGGGCGTGCCGCGCTACCGGCTGTCGCAGCCTCCGCCGCCGCTGCCGCCGCTCGACATCGCCGCCGTCGCGAGGCGGGCCTTCGAGCTTAACCCGCGCCTCCTCAACGACGGGACGAGGCCGGCGTGGAGCCCTAGAAGCGGAATCTCTCCCCATATCTCCCCCCGTATCTCCCCATCTCTCGTGAGCAGGAGCAGCGGGCTCTAGAAGCGGAGTATCTCCCCATATCTCCCCCCATTCCAACCAGCGCTGGAGAGGACACGGACTCAACTGCATTCACTTCTCCCCTCCCTCCCTCGTATCCACGCGGTGCTCTGAGTACTCCGCACAGCACGCGTACTCCCGCCCCGAGGCTGGCGTACTTCGGCACGTAGGCGTGGAGCGTGCACGTCTGCACCGGCGCCGCTCCGAGGGGCGTGGCGGAGGGTGTTTGCGGTGGAGGCC